CTAGCTCACACTCGCTCAGCTTAGAGGGAACACTGTCTCAGATTTTCCACGCGCTTTCTTTAGTCCTCCTGACAAAGAACCAGTTCCTATAAGTAAGCGTATCTCTAATAAAGCATCACTGCCAAAAGTGTTGTGGAGAGTGTTTTAACTGGGGAATCTGACATCCTGGAGGTTTTTTGTCATCTTCTGGGCATGAAACTGGGGTCACTGGGTGTGTGGGTGGGGAGGTACTTGTGAATTCCGTGCAATGTGCAGGGGGTTGGACTAGATGACCCTGGGGTGTCCCGTAAAGCTCTATGATTCTATGAACCCTAACCGTTCCTAGTTTAAAAAAGCAACACTCCAGTGGCACCTCAAAGACTAACAACATTTGGGTTTTTTTAAATTTTAATATAAAAAACTACAATACAAAAAGGCGACTCTCTATCAACGATTACACGGTGAGTAATAGCATAAAAAGAAACTGTAAAAAGAAAGTCTCGCTTAGGAAATCTAGACTAACCAAATACCAGTAGCTTGTACTTGGCTTTAGATATAGTTTCCCAATCAAAGATGTCAATGTCTATTTTATCTAAGATAGGGTACCAGATATTTAGAGGATTGGAGAAGTCCCTCTCACTTTGGTTATTGGAATGATAAATTGAGAAGTTGTCCAACATAAATAGATCCCATACTTTATACCACCACTGAGTTATATTTGGCACCTTAGTATCTTTCCAATACTTTGCAATTAAAATTTTAGCTGCTGTGGAAAGAATACTGATTAATTTTTTGACTTTTCCAGAAGGACCATCAGAGGGCCACAAACCGAGGAGAAGAACAGCCGGCGGAAAAGGTAAGTTATAGTTCGTTAGTCTGTGAATGCAGTCTGTTACTTGACGCCAAAAGCTTTGAATAACTTTGCAGGACCACGAATTATGAAAGTAAGTTGCTTTAGATCCGCACTGTTTCCAGCACTGCGGTGACATGGTGGGTATCAAGTGAGCTAGTTTAGTTGGTGTTAAGTACCGTCTCAACAGGACCTTCATATTTGTCTCTGACTAACAACATTTGTGGCCGGGGAAGAGCTTTCGTGAGTCACTGAAGTGAGCCGTGACTCACAAAAGCTCCTCCCCGGCCACCAATTTTGTTAGTCTCGAAGGTGCTCCTGGATCCTGGATCTTTTCTGCTGCTAGAGACAGACCGACACAGCGACCCATCTTGATCAGCGTTCACGGTTTGAGAGCCGGCATGATGCAGCGTGGGACCACGATCTGGGAATAGGGAACAGGTAAGGAATGCGGCTCAATGATATCGTGTGCGGGTCGGCCCGGATGCTTGAGCCAGTGTAGTGTAGGGTTGGAGGGCTGAGACTGGAATCACGTGGGTTCAAGTCCACCACACTCAGGCAATACAGGGGCCCAGTCTGTCACCCTCTCTTAGCCCAACCTACCTCGCAGGGTTATTGTGAGGATAAAAGGGAAGTCAGGTGGGAGGATAAAACTGTTAAGCGACAGAGATTCAGATGCTGACGTGCAAAACCTAGAGGAAACACACTTCAAATGGGGAGAGGGCCGCTATCTCCCCCCACAATTCCACAGCCTGTGGAAGGAACGGTTGCTGCGATCGAGGCACGCTGTTTCCCTTTTAAAGGCATGTTTCTCTGCTGGAAAGATTTCTCACAGGGGAAACGTGTGCCGAGAGATAATAACCTTGCCCATAAACCACGGCAGAACTCACTCGCTAGCATTCCTGACTCTGAGCCCCCATCAAAAAGAACGAGCCCAGTTGCGCCCCTTACAGAATGTTTTTTCTGTTTGGGAAGAAAACCCTTTATGTGGCCGCGGAGGGAGGTTTAGAAAAGAAACGCGATCCTCAGAAGGCAGAACGTAAACTTGAAACAGCTCCCGAAGCCAGGTCAGATCAAAGAAGCACAGATTTATCTTGGGAAGGCCAAGTCCACAAGGAATCCGCGGGGCGTTCGTGGCTGCAGCGTGATTCGATCTGACGGGCGTGAATCATAACAACGGATAATGCTTTCCACATGGGGATCAAACAGCCCTTTTTACGAACTGCTGATTAATAAAGAGGAGAACATCCCTATTAAATCAGAAGGCATTCTGGCACACGGAAAGCCTCGTCCATTTAAGCCATGTGCACGACAGAGGATGCGGCCGCCGCCGAAAGCGAGAGCTGCATTAAGCGGCAACGTCCTGGGTTCAAATCTCAACCCAAGCAAGTATAATTATTATGAAGAGAAATATCTAGCCTCGTCCGTTGAAGGCACATGCAAGACAGAGGATGAGGCCCCAGCGGAGAGCCAAGAGCTGCTTAAAAGCATTAAGAGCAAAGTCCGGGGTTCAAATCTCGACCCAAGCAAGTATGATTATTATGAAGAGAAACGTCAAAGAACTCAGAGCCCTTCGCTTGCTGCCTCCCGGTATTTAAAACATTGCTGTATCTCGCTGCTTGTTTCCTGGCCGGGACGAGCGTTTGCTCCCGAAACACCAACAATTAAACGCCTGACAAGAACACAAGAGCAAGGAGCATCGTATCTAGCCGGGCGCTTTGGCATCGGCGGCGTGCGGGAGGGCGAAGGAACTGCCAGGCAAGGGAGGTATTTGATTTCAAGGACTGCCCAAAATAAAGCACGCATGAGGTGCCAAGCCCCAGTTTAGAAGGGGGCTTTGAGCTGACGCCGAAATACTTCCCCTATTTGCCAGAGCAGCTCGGAGATAAGCTTAGGCACACGAAGAAGACGGTACAGTGCGTGCCAACCGGAGAAGCTCGTTGGGGGGGGGGAGTCACATGAGCGAGATTTCAGCCCCTCCAGTCCTGTGATGACCAGCATTCGAAAAGAGTGGCCTCCTACACCAAAGAGCTCCTTCTCTTGAAATTATAGGCACCGCAGTGCCCTTTGACACTTTTCCTGGAGCTGCTGAGTGTCGTAGGCGGGGCCAGGTGGGACTTCTGCCCAGCAAGGCTTCTGATTGGCCATTGGGGATTTGATGGGCTGTGCAGATTCC